GCACATGCCTGTAATCCCAGCTACTTGGGAGGCTGAGGCACAAGAATTGCTTAAGCCTTGGAAGCAGAGGTTGCAGTGAGCCAAGATTGCACCACTGCACTCCAGCCTGGGTGACAGAGTGAAAATCTGTCTCAAAGAATAAAACAATGGAATTAATAAATGATTTGATGTGAACTTTTTGAAAAGACACATTTTGACAACTGATAGTTTGTGGTTGAATTAGTGATATTTAGAAAATAAAGCAAATGAAAGAAAGAAAATAACATTTAGTTCCAAAGAAGTCCAGAAAACTAGTCACTTGAATCCAGGAGGCAGAGAGGGTGCAGTGAGCCAAGACTGTGCCACTGCACTCCAGCTTGGGCAACAAGAACGAGACTTCCTCTCAAAAAAAAAAAAAAAAAAAAAGGAATCATCTGGGGATCTCATTAAACACATCTGAATTCTGGTCCTTCAACCATACTTTTAGTAACAAAGGTACCACATGGCTGAGCTATAAACAGAATGTATAATAATGAAAACTCTGAATAGTGGTTAAATTATGAAATATATTGATAGGCTGGAAAGATGGGAAATATGCAAGTGTATGGTAGAGAAGGAAGGAAAACTAAATCCTCTTCTTCTACAGAGGAGAAGTTAATGCCTAAAACAGAAACACACTATTAAAACTAGCTGGCTTTAAAAATCATATGTAATTTTGATAACAACAGAGTCCTTAAGAAGTGGGCAGAGGATGTGAACACAGTTTATAAATACAAAAAGCACTTCAACAGCTACATACTCTACTGTCTCATTAAGATTCCTTTGTTAAGGTAGGTGTGGTGGCATGCCCCCCTAGTCCCAGCCACTTGGGAGGCTTGCTTGAGCCCAGGAGTATGAGTACAGCCTGGGTGAGATCTCATCTCTAAAAACATTTTTTAAAAGATATTGTTTCACTCTGTCACCCAGGCTGGAGTACAATGACTCACTGCAACCTCCATTTCCTGGGGTTCAAGTGATTCTCCTGCCTCAGTCTTCTGAGTAGCTGGGATTACAGGCAACCGCTACCATGCCTGGCTAATTTTGTAGTTTTAGTACAGGCAGGGTTTCACTGTGTTGGCCAGGTTGGTCTTGAACTCCTGACCTCAAGTAATCTGCCCACCTCAGCCTCCCAAAGTGCTGGGATTACAGGTGTGAGCTACCACACCTGGCCTCTAAAAAGTTTTTTTTAATTACAAATTTTTATACTCAGGAGTCTGAGATGGGAGGATCACTTGAAGCTGGGAGGTTGAAGCCGCAGTGAGCCATGATCGTGCCACTGCAATTTAGTCTGTGCAAAAAGAGAGCCCTGTCTCAAAAAAAATTTTTTTGTTGTTTTAAAAAGATTACAGTTATCACTTAGCAACTGGCAAAAAAGAAAAGTTCACTGATTGCACCAATTGCAATAATGTAAAGAAACAGCAATATATTGTTACAGCAATAGCTCTGAAATCTTAGTGTTTTATGTTGTAACAGAATACCACAGAGTGGGTAACTTAAAAATGAATAGAAATTGGCCAGGCACAATGGCTCATGCCTGTAATCCCAGCACTCTGGGAGGCTGAGGCAGGTGGAATATGAGGTCAGGAGTTCAAGACCAGCCAAGAAGGTGAAACCCCACCTCTACTTAAAAACTACAAAAATTAGCCAGGCGTGGTGGCAGGCACCTGTAATTCCAGCTACTCAGAAGGCTGAGGCAGGATAACTGCTTGAACCTGTGTGGCAGAGGGTGCAGGGAGCCGAGATGGTGCCACTGCACTCCAGACTAGGGAACAGAGTGCGACTCTGTCTCAAAAAAAAAGAATAGAAATGTATTTGGCTCATGATTAGCAGCTGGGAAATCTAAGAGCATGACATCAGTATATGGCAAGGGTCTTTGTTGTTTTGTGATCCCATGGTGGAAGGTGAGAGGGCAGAGGGTGTGCTCAGGAAAGCATTTGGCTAAACTCCATTTTACAACAAACCCACTCCTGAGATAGTAACATTAATCCATTCTTGGGGCGGAGCCCCCACAGCCGAATCACCTCCCAAAGTTTCCACCTCTCAATAATATCACAATGGCAATTAAATTTCAACATGCATTTTGGAGGAGACATTCAAAACAGCACTGACAATCCTTATTGTCCCATAACTAAATTACTTCCACATTTCAACCATCTTTCTGTTGACAATTCTTTTAAGTTGGCTACCACAATATGCTTTATGCTTTTTTTTTTTTTGAGACAGGTCAAGCTCTCTTTGAAGTGAGTGCAGTAGCATGATCATGGCTCACTGCAGCCTCACCTCCAGGGCTCAAGAATCTTCCCATCCCGGCCTCCCAAGTAGCTGGGACTATGGGCATGTGGTACCATGCCTAGCTAATTTTTTTTTGTAGAGACAGGGTATCACTATGCTGCTCAGGTTGGTCTTGAGTTCCTGGACTCCAGTGATCCTCCTCCCTCAGCCTCCCAATGTGCCGGGATTACAGGTATGAGCCACTGTACCTGGCCCAGTATGCGTTCTCAACTACTTTCTTCCTTAGCTGCCTTGGCTGTCAGGACTGAAAAAGCTATGTAGTCTGCCCTCATCTGGGGTTTCGGTTACCTTGGTCCAAAAATAGCTGAGTACAGCACAATATTTTGAGAGAGGCTGACCACTACCACATACTTTTTATTACAGTAATTGTTATAATTTTTCTATTTTATTGTTAATCTGTTACTGTGTCCAATCTATAAACTTTATCATAGGTTAGTATTAGCCCATTCTCACACTGCTATGAAGAAATATCCAAAACTGGGCAATTTATAAAGAAAACAGGTCTAATTAACTCACAATTCCTCATTGCTGGGGAGGCCTCAGGAAACTTACAATCATGGTGGACGGCAAAGGAGAAGCAGGCACCTTCTTCACAGGGTGGCAAGATGAAGTGAGTACAAGCAGGGGAAATGCCAGATGCTTATAAAACCATCAGATCTCATGAGATTCACTCACTATTATAAGAACAGCATTGTGGAAACCGCCCCATGATACAATTGTCTCTACCTAGTCCCACATAGGAATTTGGGGATTATAATTCAAGATGAGATTTTGGGTGGGGTCACAGCCAAACTATATCAGGTATACATGCATAGGCAAAAACAGTATATATATATATGGTTCAGTACTATCTGCTGTTTCAGGGATCCACTCGCAGTCTTGGAATGCATTCCCCAAGAACACTACTGTGTTCACTTTCTCAACCTCTGCAGCTAGAGATGGACATATGTCATAGTTCTCAACAATGAAACTAAGTGAAAGCCTGCTGGGAATAATTCTGAAAAATCTCTTGCTTTCCTTTTAAAATCTCCTGCTTTACCTTTCCTGGAGGAATTTTGAGAAATCTCATACGTATGATCTCAGCTACTTGGGAGGCTGAGGTGGGAGGCATGCTTGCCAGAAGTGGCTGGCATAGCTATCTTTTCTTCCTGCCTTGAACTCATGTAAATGTCAGCCATTTTACAAGCATGAACAACAATCATAAAGGGTGTTAGAAATATGCCATGGAGAGTGGAGTGGAAAAATACAAAAAAAGCATCACTGAGAGCTAAGCCAACAACTACTGCATCCTCACTTGGATTTAACATATAAGACAAAAACCTCCTGCTTAAGTACCTCATCATTTTGTTACGCAGCCAGACACACCCATTTTCTCAAAAAAGGCTGCTCTGAATTATGTTTTACACATAATTTCCCCAGTATTTATTTAAGTCAAATATATAAACTCTTACACTATAATATTCACTCTAAAACAGAAATTGTTAGAGTGAAAAAAATAAATCAACTGGCCAGCTGGTTTACGCCTAATAATCCCAGCACTTTGAGAGGTAGAAGTAGGAGGATCACTTGAGCTTGGGAGTTTGAGACCCTGTTTCAATTTAAATAAATTAAATAAATACAAATCAATCTCCACAATTCTGGGTTTGCTTATTTTACAATCAATAGGATTGTTTAACTGTGAGCAATAAAAACGTAAAGAAAATGTAATTTACTGAAAATATGAGGTAGCTTGCAGAACTTAAGGAAAAGCTAAACCAGTCCTCAGGAAGAACAGGAATCAGGATAGCTCAAAATCACCACTTTCAGAATCTGGTCTGAAATAAATTCAGGAGCACCAATCCAATTTAGTTTCTTGAAGCAAAGTGTACCTCAAGGTGCTAAAGCACAGTTAATTTTAGAATTCCCATGAAAATCATGTTCTTTAACCTATGAAGTATTTTAAAGCTTAAAATCTAGGACTTTCCATATCAAAAAACTAACAATGGAACAATTTGTTTCCAGTAACAGATGAAAATATGATCTACAGACTGTTTACAGACTCCCCTGTCCCCTACCCCCAAGAGGATCTACCACTTTCTTCTAGTTTTAGGCTCACAGGGTGGAAACTTTCACTACCTATCTTATTCTTAAATACCTCCTCCTCTCCTAGCATTAGTTCATAAGCAAAAGCTGTAAAAGTCAGTTTCAAATTTTATTTCATTAACTTAAAAGGTGGACAAAAATGTTCATTTCAAATCTAATTGAAATTCATCTGAAACAAGTAACTTATTTCAAGTAACTTATTGTACAGTCTATTGTCCATTTAAAAATATTCTTTCTTCCAAAAAAAACTGCACTGAAAGACAAAAAAATTATTTTACAGTGCATAAAAGCAAGATGCAAACTTCTGATGTGAATTTGTTTCAATGTCAACTCTGATGATAAAGATGAGAGGCACAAGGGTTCACAGTTCAGTTAAATGATGCAAACAAAAAGCTTCTGGTTTCCTCCGATACAAATTAGAAGCCTCCATTCATACCTCTTACAGCAGTATCACTACTTGATGTTGATACTAGGTTACTTCTTTTTCTTTCCTTTCCCTTTTTTACTTCCCTCTCCTTGTTGAAGACTTGGGTCACCACCTCCTGTTTTTTGTGTCCTTGTTTTTAGTTTAGGTATCATTTCTGCTGCATACAACATTACTGACTTACCTAGGAACCAGAAGTTAGGCTTAGTGTATAATCTGAGAAATAAGACATAAAAAGTCATTAACTTGAATATCACAAAGTGTAAGAAACTATCACATCAAGAAAATGGTAAATAATTTTTTAAAAAACTAATAAATCAAATGACTGTGAAGACACTGACTGGCTCAAGTACGGGGAAATGTACTGAGAGTGAGAATAATGCTGAAAATATTTAAATGAATAAAATCAAAAAGCAAAACACTAAGTATGAAACTAAAATTCTGGTCTTGGTCCTAGTAATTAGCTTAAAGATCTAAGGAGTATATATCTAAATATATCTTAGATAGGAAACAGAGTCAGAATATCATTGTATCTTAAGACACTGAAACACAGAGTTTTCTGAGTCTTTCAACAAAAAACAGTATCAAGTTACAAGAGATCTGATAGGTCCCTGCTCTGCATACACACAACCAGCTACCTTCACCCCAAGAGACCAAGCTCCTCAGCTCTGCTTTCTTTTTACTATTTTACTCACTTGGATCTTAGTGGAAATAGGAAGTGACATCTTTTCACCACAATTTCTACCCCTATTTTATCTACTAGTTAATTAAACGTTTTTATTTGTTTTTGGTCTTTTGAGATATAGTATAGGAAAACGTTGGAATATACTATCTGTCACTCCTTAATCACAACCTGAAGCACCTAGCAATACCTACCAATCCTGATGGGTTTTTGTATATAAAAAACAACCTACTTTAGGCTGAGCCTGGTGCCTCATGTCTGTAATCTCAGTACTTTGGGAGGCTGAGGCAGGAGGATCACTTGTATCTAGGAGTTCGAGACTGGCCTAGGAAACATAGCAAAACCCCATTTCTAGAAAAAATGAAAAATTAGGCAGGTGTGGTGGCATGCACCTGTATTCCCAGCTACTTGGGAGGCTGAGGTGGGAGTGTTGCTTGAGTCCAGGAGGTCAAGACTGCAATGAACCATAATTGTACCACTGCAATAAACCTGGATGACAGAGTAAGATGCTGTCTTTAAAAAAAAAAGTTTAAATGTTGGCTGGGCATGGTGGCTCACGCCTGTGATTTCAGCATTTTGGGATCTCCCCGAGGTGGGAGATGGCTTGAGGCCAGGAGTTTGAGACTAGCCTGGGCAACACAGTGAGACCCTTGTCTATTAAAAAAAAAAAAAAAAAAATCAAACAAAGTTGTCAGTTTGACAATTTCATTGTTTTTAAATAAATTTAATGGAAGAGTTTAATTAAACTGAGGGGGATTATTAAACTGAAAGAAAAAATTAATAGCTCTGTTTTAAAAAATTAAAATTTTCAGAGATAAAAATTCAGAAAAATAAATAACAAAAAAACAAAGACTTCTTTTTTTTTGAGATGGAGTTTCGCTCTTGTTACCCAGGCTGGAGTGCAATGGCGCTATCGGCTCACCGCAGCCTCCGCCTCCTGGGTTCAGGCAATTCTCCTGCCTCAGCCTCCTGAGTAGCTGGGATTACAGGCACGCACCACCATGCCCAGCTAATCTTTTGTATTTTTAGTAGAGACACGGTTTCACCATGTTGACCAGGATGGTCTCGATCTCTTGACCTCATGATCCACCCACCTTGGCCTCCCAAAGTGCTGGGATTACAGGCTTGAGCCACTGTGCCCAGCCAACAAAGACTTCTTAATACTCAGGACCAACATTCTCTTATCTTGATTTCTAGTTTTGTCTTGTTATTGTTTTCCATGAAATGAAACAATAGAGATGATGAAACAGTCTACGATCATCAACCCGTGTCTCTACTCTCTATCCCACTAGCCATTAGATGACTACTGTCTTAAGAGTCGGTGTTTCCTTACAGATCATTTCAAAAAAAGAACCAATAAGCAACATTACATATGCATCTATCAATAAATAGTAATATTTTGGTTATTTCAAAAAAAGAACCAATAAGCAACATTACATATGCATCTATCAATAAATAGTAATATTTTGGATTTAAATTTACATAAGTGGTACCACACTATGCATATCTCTTGCTTTTTTCAGTCAATATTGCTTTTTAGATTATTAACAGAATAATTAGATATTAACAAACCTTTAGGATCTGAAATGGCATTTAACATCCCACGATTTAATAATTTTATATTCTTAATCTGGGAGCAATGACAGACTTCTAGAGGTTTATAAATATTCACACAATTTTTTGAAAAATGTTTAGTAGGTCTCATTACATTTTCAAAGAGGTCTTTTGCCTCAAAGAAATTAGAACTACTGCTTACCTCTCTCCATGAGTAGTCCTGTCTTTAAATTATTCTTTAGAATGCAAATTCTGATTTTCCCCTTTCAGTTTTAGAAATTTGTGTTGTGTAGGAGAAACCTATCCCCGAATCCTACTGATTCACTTAAAAAAGCTTACGTGATGGGAACTGTACAAGGCAGAGGCTGCCATCTTCCTGTTTGAGCTGGACCCGGACTCTGCCTCTGTATTGGACATCACGATTCCATTCTCTAGAGTACATTTTATTTTTCTAACATAAACGAAACAAAAGAAAAACCAGGCTTAAGCAAGTTATTACATCAATTAGATGAGTATGGAAAATAGTAAAGAACCATGTCATACCTCAAGAAATACATTAAGTCCAACTGCTGAACATACATCTTGTATCTCTGCAGCTGTAGGATTTTCAACAGCCTGAACAGTTAAAAACATAAACAATATATTTGCTTTAAGTGGACACTGCCATAGTGCTGGGTAAATAATTTCAAATAATATAATCAAACAAGTACCAAAACTCTAGCTGTCCTATGTACAGATGCTTCCATTGTAATTTTTTAAATTCCTAGGAATAACACTAATGTATACCTGTGTGTCCATCTTCCCTCCAACAGAACATAATCTTCTAAGGGCAAGGACTTTGTTTTCTTTTTTTTTTTTTTTTTTTTTTTTTTTTTTTTTGAGACGGAGTTTCGCTCTTGTTACCCAGGCTGGAGTGCAATGGCGCAATCTCGGCTCACCGCAACCTCCGCCTCCTGGGTTCAGGCAATTCTCCTGCCTCAGCCTCCCGAGTAGCTGGGATTACAGGCACGCACCACCGTGCCCAGCTAATTTTTTGTATTTTTAGTAGAGACGGGGTTTCACCATGTTGACCAGGATGGTCCCGATCTGCTGACCTCGTGATCCACCCGCCTCGGCCTCCCAAAGTGCTGGGATTACAGGCTTGAGCCACCGCGCCCGGCCAGGACTTTGTTTTCTTAACCAGTCTATTCCCCTGCACCTAGCATGGTACTTTTAACATAGTAGGTGGTCAACAATTATTCACTGCTTAAACAATTACACATACAAACACTTTAGAAAACCATCCGCTAGTATCTACTAAAGCTGAATATAGGCATTCCATACGGCCCGGCAATTTCATTCCCAAATGTGTTCTATAAAAAAGCAAAAATAGGTTCACTAAAAGACAACTATTTATAATAGCCTCAAATTACTAATAGAAATAATCCAGTTTTTCATCCGAGTAGAAAGGGCCAGGTGTGGTGGCTCACACCTGTAATCCCAGCACTTTGGGAGCCAATTCAGGCAGACTGCTTAGCTCAGGAGTCTGAGACCACCCTGGGCAACATGGAGAAATGCCATCAATACAAAAAAAAAAAAAATACAAAAATAGCCACATGGTGGCATGTGCCTGTAGTCCCAGCTACTCAGAAGGCTGAAGTTTGAGGACGGCTTGAGTCCGGGAGGTGGAGGCTTCAGTGAGCTGAGACTATACTGGTGCACTCCAGCCTGGATGACAGAGCCAGATCTGTCTCTTAAAAAGAAAAAGGAGGTAGAAAAGACTTTAGTATATGCACACAATGCAATACTAGAGCAAACAGGGCAGTGGTTTCCAACAGGGAAATTCTGTCCTCAGCCTCCCTACCCCTGCCCACACACAAAAGACACCTGGCAATGCCTGAAGACATTTCTGATGGTCATAACTAGGGGATGGGAGGGTGGAGGGGGATAATCTGTCATCTAGTGGGTAGAGGCCAGGGATACTGCTGAACATCTTAAAAATGCACATAACAACCCCCTACAACAATTACCTGGCTCAAACTGGCAATGGTACTGCTATTGACAAACCCTGTCACAGAGCAAGAAAAATTCAACTATATTCAAATATGTGGATAAATCTCATAAGCTTAAAGTTCAGTGAAAAAAAGATACAAAAGTATATAGTGTGCAATTCCATTTATAGAAAATTCAAAAATAGCAAAAGTAATCTATGGTGTTAAAGTCATGACAGTGGCTATTCTGGTATTTTTGAGCATATGCGTAGGCGACAGTGATTGGTAGGGAACATAAAGGAATCTTCCTGGATGCTTGCAATGTTTTCTTTTTTGAGTGCTTGTTACCACCCAGATGTACTCATCATGTGAGAATTCACTGCATCAAACCTAGGTGCCTTAAATCTGTCATATTACAGAATACAAATGACTCTAATAAAACACATCAGGGCTGAACTTTTTGCAAGTCTTTCTCACATATTTAAAAAAATCTCAACTACATTCTAAACATTATTAATGTATCGTACAATGTCATAATTTTGATTTTCTGTACCAAGGGGAACATTGTCATAAACTTTAAAAAAAAAAACAAAAAACGTGTACTGGGAAACCAAGGCGGGCAGATCATGATGTCAGGAGATCGAGACCATCGTGGCCAACATGGTGAAATTCCATCTCTACTAAAATACAAAAAATTAGCCAGGCGTGGTGGTGCACGCCTGTAGTCTCAGCTACTCGGGAGGCTGAGGCAGGGGAACTGCCTGAACCGGGAAGCCGAAGATCGCAGTGAGCAGAGATCATGCCACTACACTCCAGCCTCGTGACAGAGCAAGACTCCGTCTAGTCAAACAAAATACAAAACAAAACAAAAAAATCATGTAAACTCCTTAGACTCTCTATATACTTATTTACAAGCACAGGCTCATTAAGAGCCATTAAAAAAAAATCCCCTCAGCTATGAATAATGCCTTTCTGGTTTCACCAAGGAATGCACCCCAATTCTTGGTTGTTGCTCTTCCTCAAGCCCTAAATAAATGCAGTGAAGAGAAGCCCCTGAGGCTCTAACAAGATGACGTGGCCCGACCAGGATGACATCCCCCATTCCCTTGAGGACCAAGGTGCCAGCCATCTGCTTACCTTACTTATGGGGATTCGCCTTCCCTCTGCAATGGTCTTCTTATTATTTAAATAAGCAGGATAGATACAAATAAACCTGCCATAGACAAGAGCACAACTGGTATCACTAGAGCAGTATGAGGCAGGAGAACAGGGTCGGGAGGCAGGGAACCGAAGGCCAATTCATGCTGACTAGATATCAGATGGCTACTCTCTTTTCAACCGTCTTTTTTCTGTATGGCAGTTTAAAAAATCAGAGTACCTCGGGTCCCCTCCAGCAACCAATCAGACGGGTCGGCCTACTCTTCATTCTGACTGATCCCCTCCGCAACCAATCAGACTGGCACTGGCCAATGGGAAACCTCCAGAGAGTATTTAAACCCCCCCAAAATTCCGTAACCCGCAAATATTCCATAATCAACAGCTGTTGGGTGGCTTGCTGGAGCCAGCTCCCACTCCATGGAGTGTACTTTTGTTTAAAATAAATCTGCTTTCACTGCCCTGTGTGTTCTGCTCAATTCTTTATTCAAAACACCAAGAACATGGACAACTACGCTCAACAAGTAGCAAGTATTTTCAAAAATATACTCACTGGCCAGGCACGGTGGCTCACACCTGTAATCCCAGCACTTTGGGAGGCTGGGGGCGGGGGGTGATAACAAGGTCAGGAGATGGAAAACATCCTGCCCAACATAGTGAAACCTCGTCTCTATAAGTTTAAAAAATTAGCTGGGCCTGGTGGTGCGTGCCTGTAATCCCAGCTACTCAGGAAGCTGAGGCAGGAGAATCGCTTGAACCCGGGAGTCAGATGTTGCAGTGAGCCTAGATGGCACCACTGCACTCCAGCCTGGCGACAGAGTGAGACTGTGTCTCAATAATAATAATAATAATATTTATTGTTTCAGTCCGTGATAGTCCTTGTCATCATTGCTGGTACACCTATGCTATTATTTGCTTAATGCTTTTTCGTTAAATTACCTTTCTTTTACTTACTTAAACTTTATCCACTAGGTTAGATGGAAAAGAACAGCACGAACAGAAACAAAACTTGTTAACTGTTACATCAGACAGAGCAGTCTGTCAAAAGTTCCTGAGAATGGGGCCAGCCCTTTTATATAAAAAATAGTGTCCAAGGTATCAAAAACCTTAAAAATTCACAGACGAGCCTTTCTGAACTCAACAATAAAATACAATATCATGTCTACGTAGCACCCAAAATACTTGTCTCGCGTAAAGGTAAACACTAGGTACCTACGGTCGGAATTTCAGAAGCCCTGCCAAGAGCCTGGTGGCTGCTGCAGGATTCTCGGAAAAACGAGCCGCTGGAGAGGCGCGGAGCCCGTCCAGGCTTAGCTGGATCTGCTAGGCCACTAACGATGCCGCGAGGCGGAGAAGGGAAGCGCAGTACCCGTGGTACCACCACAGCAAGCCCCTTCCTTTCTCAGGACCCAACTCCCCAGGACCCACCTGTCCTGGTCGGCCGGGGAGCGCGCGGAAGCACAAGCCATCTTCACAAAATTCTGAACAGCGACAACCCAGGACAGCTCTGAGTTTCCCAGAAAGTGCGATATTCCGCCGGAAGTCCTGCCCACCAAATGGTTCCGCATCCGCGATTTCTCACCTCCTGTTTGTTCCGGCACCTGTCGCTCGGCCGCAGGATCGCTAGTCTCCGACGTGGCGTGACTACTACCCCTCTCGCGAGAGGATCAAGACAGCTTCTCACTCCTTTCCCAAATCTCGCCAGGAAGCGCGTGTGGGTCGCATACATCGCCACTAAAAAGGGATTAACTTAGACCCTTACTCATTTTCACTTTCTCAGCGAGTATGGGTGGTACTAGCTGTTTAGGGGCGCAGACTGTGCACCGAGGAGGATCTGTGTGGTTCAGGTTGCAAATATACATTAGAGCAAGCAAGGAAATGCTTCTCATGTTTAATTTGTAGCTGTTCCTGGGCCCTAGAGCTTGCTTTCAATTTGGCAAAATGGATTTTTATAGTAGAAGAACTAGCGAAGTTAAAGACATTGTGTTTCAGTATGCTGTGTAAGTGTTAGAAAGTTAACTATTCACCTTTTAGGCTGGGCACTGTGGCTCACCCCTGTAATCCCAGCACTTTGGGAGGCCAAGGAAGGCAGATCACGAGGTCAGGAGTTGAGACCAGCCTGGCAAACACGGTAAAACCCCATCTCTACTAAAAATACTAAAATTAGCCTGGTGTGGTGGCTCACACCTGTAATCCCAGCACTTTGGGAGGCCGAGGCAGGCGGATCACCTGAGGACAGAAGTTCAAGACAAGCCTGGCCAACATGGCAAAACCCCATCTCTACTAAAAAACGCAAAAATTAGCTCAGCGTGGTGGGAGGCGCCTGTATCCCTGCTACTCAGGAGGCTGAGGCAGGAAAATCGCTTGAATTTGGGAGGTGGAGATTGCAGTGAGCCAAGATCCTACCACTGCACTTCAGCCTGGGCAACGGAGTGAGACTGTGTCAAACAAACAAACAACAACAACAACAAAAAAAAAAACAAACTGAAGAATACCATGTGCCATCACTACAGGCATACTTGATTATTGCACTTTGTTTTGCTGCTCTGAGCAGATACTGCCTTTTTTACAAATGGAAGGTTTTTTGCAAATCGGCTTGGAGGAAGTCTCTTGGCGCCATTTTTCCAGCAGTATATGCTTTGTGTCATATTTTGGTAATTCTTGCAATATTTCAAACCTTTTCATTATTTCTTTTATGGTGATCTGTAATCAGTGATGTTTGCTGTTACTATTGTAGTAGTTTCGGGGTGCCATGAACCGTGCCCAGATAAGATGGGGAACTTATTGGATAAATGTTGTATATGTTTTGACGGTTTGACCAACTGGCTATTTCCCATCTCTCCCTCTCCTGGATCCCCTATTCCCCAAGACACATCAGTGTTGAAACGAAGCCAATTAACCCTACAATGGCCTCTAAATGTCCAAGTGAAAGGAAGGTCACATGTCTCACTGTCAGTCAAAAGCTGGAAATGATTAAGCTTAGTGAGGAAGGCACTGTGTAAGCCAACACAGGCTGAAAGCTAGGTCTCTTGGCATCTTAACAGCCAAGTTGTAAATACAAAGACAAAATTCTTGAAGGAAATTAAAAGGAACTTACTTCAATAAACACACAAATGATCAGAAAACAGAACAATCTTATTGCCGATACAGAGAAAGTTTTAGGGGTTTAGATAGATTAAACCAGCCACAACATTCCTTCAACCCAAAGCCTAATCCAGAGCAAGGCCCTAACTCCCTTCAATTCTGTGAAGGCTGAAGAAAGATGAGGAAGCTGCGGAAGTGGGATGCTAATAGAGAGTGGTTCAGGAGGTTTAAGAAAGAAGCCATCTCTATAACATAAAGTGTAACGTGAAGCAGCAAGTGCTGATAGAGAAGCTGCAGCAAGTTATCCAGAAAATGTAGCTATACCATTGATGATGATCAATGATTAGCTAATATCATTTAGTGGTTACACTAAACAATGGATTTTTCAATGTAGACAAAACAGCCCTCTACTGGAAAAAGATGCCATCTAGGACTTTGATAGAACTCCTTTGAGAAAAGTCAATGCCTGGTCTCAAAGCTCCTGAGGACAGTCTGTCTGATTGTCTTCTTGTGGAATAATGCATGGGTTACTTTAAGTTGAAGCTGATGGACATTTACCATGCCAAAAATCCTAGAGCCCCTAAGAATGATGCTAAATCTACTCTGCCTGTGTTCTCTAAATGGAACAACAAAGCCTGGATGACAGCACATCTATTTACAGCATGCTTTACTGATTTTTTTTTTTTTTTTTTTTTTGAGACAGGGTCTCACTCTGTCACCCAGGCTGGCATGCAGTGGCCCTATCACAGCTCACTGCAGTCTGACCTCCCACACTCAAGCAATCCTCCCACACAAGCCTCCAGAGTAGCTGGGACCATGGGCACGTGCTACTGCCTGGCTATTTCTTTTTTATTTTTAGTGGAGACAAAGTTTTGCTGTGCTGCCCAGGCTGGTCTTGAATGCCTGGGCTTAAGCGATCCTCTTGCCTCGACCTCCCAAAGTCCTGGAATTATGGGTGTGAGCCACCACACCCAAACTTTACTGAGTATTTTTAAGCCCACTGTTGAGACCAATTGCTAGGAAAAAAAAGATTCTTTTCAAAATATTACTGCTCATTGACAATGCACCTAGATATCTAAGGCTCTGAGGGAGATGTTCAAGGAGATTAATGTTTTCAGGCCTGATAACACATCATCCATTCTGCAGTTTATAGATCAAATAGTAATTTTTACTTCCACCTCTTATTAAGAAATATAGTTTCTAAGACTATAGCTGCCATATAGTGATTCCTCTGATGGATCTGGGCAAGGTAAATTGAAAATCTTCTGAAAAGGATCACTATTCTAGATGCCATTAAGAGCTTCTGTGATTTATTGGAGGTTAAAATATCAACATGAATGGAATTTGGAAGTTGATTTCAACTCTCTGCGATGATTTTGAGGACTTCAACACATTAGTGGAGGCAGTAACTGCAGATGTAGTAGAAATAGCAAGGAAACTAGAATTAGAAGTAGAAATTGAAGATGGGACTGAATTGCTATAATTATAACAAAACTTGAATGATGAGGAGTTGCTTCTTATGAATGAGCAAAGAAAGTGATTTCTTGAGATGGAAGCAATTCCTGGTGAATATGCTGTGAACATTGTTGAAATTACATCAAAGGGTTTAGAATAGCATAAACATAGTTGAAAGAGCAGTGGCAGGGTTTGAGAGAACTGACTTCAGTTTTGAAAGAAGTTCTACTGTGGGTAAAATGCTACCAAACAGCATCACATGCTACAGAGAAATCTTTTGTGAAAGGAAAAGTCAGTGGATGTGGCAAAATTCACTGTTGTCTCATTTTACAGAGAAATCTTTTGTGAAAGGAAAAGTCAGTGGATGTGGCAAAATTCACTGTTGTCTCATTTTAGGAAATTGCCACAACCACTCCAGCCTTCAGCAACCATCATCCTGATTAGTCAGCAGACATCAACACTGAGGTAAAACCTCCACCAACAAAAAGATTATGATTTTCTGAAGGCCCAGATGGTTGTTAGCATCTTTAGTAATAATGTATTTTTTAAATTTTTATTTATTTATTTATTTTTAGGACGAAGTCTGGCACTGTTGCCCGGCTGGAGTGCAGTGGCGTTATCTCAGTTCAATGCAACCTCTGACTCCTGGGTTCAAGCAATTCTCCTGCCTTAGCATCCCAAGTAGCTGGGTTTACATGTGGGTACCACCATGCTCAGCTAATTTTTTGTATTTTTAATAGAGACAGGGTTTCACTATGTTGGCCAGGCTGGTTTTACCTTGTGATCCACCTGCCTTGGCCTCTCAAAGTGCTGGGATTACAGGCATGAGCCACCGTGCCCGGCCATTAAAGTATTTAAAATAAAGTACATACATTATTTTTCTAGACATAATGCTATGCACACTTAACAGACTATGATATAATATAAACATAACTTTTATATGCACTGGAAAATTAAAAAAAAGTGTGACTTGCTTTACAAGGATATTTGCTTTATGATGGTGGTCTGGAATGAAACTTGCAATATCTCTGAGGTATGCCTATATAGTTTTGCATAAATTAGACTGATTGCAAAGTAGTATTTCAGCATCTCCATTCAATTAAACCCACCTTCGTTTCTATTTTAATAATGGTAGTTTATTCCATATCTACAAAGACATGCTTCAAAGTGAAGCAAGGTGAGATAGGTTTTCTCTTTTACAGATAAAAAAGCAGTCAAACTGAAAAACCAAACTTAACCAACAAAAATCTTCATGAAAGTTTGAGTCTCAGTGAGGTTAAATAATTTGCCCATTCATGCTAATAATGGCTGAGCATAGATGCTCAGCTAGTCTGACTGGAAGCCCCTGACTTTCCTTCATGTTCTCATTTGTGCCTCTCAATCTTCCTTGAAGTTTTTTTTTTTTAAGCACCAAATTTAGTTGGGTCCTGATGTAAATAAATAATGCTTACTTCTTTCTGAAATGTATACAATTCCTGTAAAGACAGTGTCATTTAATGACCTAAAATTTAGCTGTACATTTGGAGATGAAATGAATCCAAACTTTAAAATACATAGTTTTCTTGCTTTAGGATACATATACACATATTAAAAAGGGGAAAATGAATGAGGTAGTCTGAGGCTCAATACATGCAAGTAGTCTACTTACCATGGAATTGTTTTCATAGAGCCATCTAAGTAGTTGGTGACAAAAAGGTCAATATTATAATTGCTAGTAACATTTCCTAGTTGATACATACCAAGGGCATTAATGACAAGGCTGTTTTTGAGTGTCATTCAAATCGACACTCCTATTAAACTCGACACTGTTGTTGAGATATTGTATAAGTACAGAGAGGAGGGGTGAGAAAGACAGAAAGAATCCAGTATTGTTACTACACTGATGATCAAAGTTGCAGCCAAATGTAAAGTTTTTAAATATTTATGTTTGTGAAAAGGCAGGTTGAATTAAATGAGGACGAAGATGGACATGGAAAATTATGAAGAGATGATAAAAGGGCTTTATAGAATTATGGTGCTGTTTTCAAATCTTATTTTTATC